GTCATAATGGAGCTTAAATGAATGGAAGACTACATTTGTAAATCCTGCATATATAATTAATTTAGCTCTGTGTTCTTCTTTACAAAAGTCGTTTAGTGAATTGAAGGTTTACAAAGCCTTAGGCTTTACCAACAACCCACCCTTCAGATACAAGACATCAGACATGCGGTGCGACATAAAATGAATATAATCATTGAAGACAACATCTCACCAGAAGGCTATTTTAAACATTGGCTCAAGCTATTAGGTCCAAGATAAAAGTATGCTACAACAAGTTTTAGATGTGTTACAAGTTGAGATATTGTAACAACATTGTACATTTTTATTGAGCCTGTGAAATTTCTCTCAATACTATTTAAAAGTCAAAGCAGTTAAACAGTTCTTCTCACTGTTATTGCAGATTTTGCTGATATGATTTTCAGCATACAAATTTTAGTTTGAGTCAAGGAAGAGTGATTGTGTGTAATAAATCCTAAATGTCCTGTTTAAAACTGAAGGTGTTTCAAAAACTGATTTGACTGTCACTTTTGAGTGAATATAAGCAACAATTTTTGGTTTCATAAGAGAAAATCAAAAGTCTCAAAATCTCTAAATAAACTTATTGACATGATTCTGGGTTTTGCTTACATTCTCCACTACTACATCCTTTGACATATCCAGAAGTACAAATAAACAATTTTACGTTTCATTTTGTTATTATAACACAAGCTGAGTGAAAAACAAGCAGATCCAAATTCTGCTGTAGTTTCCTGAAATGCGCCAGTACTGTTTACTGCTGAACAGTTCTGCATGTTAATAATACTATAGATTGGATGTCTTCCGAACATCATGCAGACCTATTTTAATAATATCACCTACAAATACGATATTTAAAAAATGTCTAAGCAATGTTCTCAAATAATACTCAGAAGGCTGTCTGCAGCTTTAGTTTATGGTATTGTAAACATGAATAAGTAGAACATTTCCAATGATTCTATGTCATCAGCAGTGGTGTATTTTGTGCTAACATTCATCTAGATTGTATAATCTGGAAATGAGTCATTCTAGCAGCATTGTTTGTTTCTGGATAATATTTGTCAATGGACTACTAGAATATTTACTAAGTGAGTCAAATCTCAGTTGTTTCTGCTTGATTGTTACTGGCATTGATTGCACCTTCTGTGCTGTACATCATATCCTTCTACTCTCAAATTGGCTTTCTGACAGCATGTCACTGGTGACAGAGATAATACACCTCAAAGGTGTGTTGGAAGCAAGAGAAGTGCTGTGGATGAGTCACTAGATATAATTCAGGTAAATTTAAAGTAAATATATGGAAAAGGATTGCAGTGTAAAGCTGTAAAGAACTGCTAATGTAGGACACTTTTTGCAATGAACTTCAAAGATTGCATATAGCAGAAAGAACTTTCTTTCTACAAAGTGCACATTTTCTTCTCTCCTCCTTTTGTGAACAGTTGTGTGCTGGGCCACGTGAGATGACAAATATACAGAGCTTCTACTCTCTAAAGCAGCTGGTCATCATTCCCAAAGCAGTATCCAAAAAAAAAGAAAAAGGAAAAGAAAAAGAAAAAAATGCCCAGTGGTGCAAATTTATCCAAACCGCTCTGTGAGAAAATGGCTGCTGTTCCCGCAATTGTCCTCAAACAATTATTGAGCAAAGATCAGGGAGTTTTAAAGAGCAGTTTTTCCAACTACAATAATACAGGCCATCTAATGCAGGGGATACAAGACTCTCAGAAACAAACCAAATAAAGAGCTAAAGAAAGAATGGAAGGCAGATAAAAGCTGACACCCAATGTATTAGAACTCAGCTCTATTAGATATGAGCTTCTGCAAGGGTGAAGCACCACAGCTTAAGGCAAGATACTGCTTGCTCATTGTGCTTTAGAGAGTGAGGCTGTGAAGGCAGTGTTGCCAATGCCTTCTTCATACAGCATACAGTCCCTCATGCATGATTTAGGAAAGTGAAACTCTTACTTTAATATTAAAGTAGGGGTGAAGTAGAAGAAACAAAAGGATGTGCTTAGGCTGCAAATCTCATTAAAAACTGATAAGATACTTTTGAAAAAAAAAATTGCAAGCAGTCAAATGAGAAAAAAATAACTAATTTGCATCCTAAGAATAATTTTGCAGCTTTTTCTTTCTTTCTTTTCTTTTTTTTTTTTTTTGCAATTTGATCATTGCACAGTGGTACAGCTGGCAGCACTGACTTTCAGCCTTTCAGTAAGAAGGTCCTGGATTAGAGGTCCAGCATTAGCACTATGTGTGCCTGGGCACTCTGATTTCGTCAGTCCAAAACACATTTAAGTTTAACTGGTGTTTCTCAGGCATGCATGTGCACGGTTGTGTGTCAAGTGTTTTTTAAAGGGTCAACCTCTTTCCAGGAATATACTTGTCTTGTAATTAGATATAATCTTTTTGAACAGGTTATGAGTAAAATGCTACTTCTATTTAAATAGTTTAGATCATTTCATAATAATCACCTCCAGTTTTCAGCTCATCATTTCAGCTTCCTGCTTCCACTTTGGATTTATTCAAGAAATTACATTTTTACATTTTTGCAGATATGTTGCAGATACTCAGTGGTTGTGAATAGGTCTTCATCATATAAACTTGGCTTGGTGTTTCCAGTATAAAGCTTCAGCGCCTCAGTCTTTCATGAGTTCAGAGGGTGAATCTCTGAATTCCAATGCACCACACAGCTTTACTTTGAATTTTCCTCCACCAATGTTTTACTCATACATTACAGAAGTACAGAGTTACCGCTTGACATACTTCAATCTGTTATTTGGGCTGTAAATTAAAAACAGGTTAGTTTTAGCCTAACCTCTAACTGAAGAACAGTTAGAGGTTTTTCTTCAGAACCTCTAACTGTAAATGAGAGCTTGGGATGATTGGCATCAGCCACTGTTTCAAACAGAAGAAAATGCTTATGGTCAATCAATAAGCATGTCTGTGATCTAATTTTAGATTTAGGGAGGTAAAATCCCTTAAATGCTTTGCTTAATTTTGTTGTAAGTCAGATCTGAACTTCGGTTTGCATCTGCAGAGCTCTAATAGACACTTCCATATTAGTGAGTCATTTTTCCATCACTTCAATTCTGACCAAAATTATAAACCGGAGCTTGCCTTCCAGATGTTTTATTATTCAAACAGCACAGAGAAAACAAAATGCATATCTACTTGATCTAATCATGGTATCGTGGTATCATGATTTCCTCCAACCAACGATTTGTCATTAAACAAAGATGTCACCTCTTTTAGTTTCTTACATAATAGTAATTTGTCTTGCAGGGTGTCTGATGTTTGGGTTTTTGGGTCTTTCCTGTTTGTGTTCTTGTAATAGCTCCATTTTTGGGGGGGTAGCAAAATTGGAGCTGAAAGCTTGTGCTGATTGAGTGAATATTAAAGGGTTGGGGAGATTGCACTCTGGATAAGTGGCTCTTGTTACCATGGAGTGTGACACTGTTCCTCTTTGTAATGATTCACAGTGCTCTTGACACATGATATTGTAGATGTTCAGAGGATTGCTGGTTTTATGCTGGTGAGAATTTTACCTCCAGGTTTGATGTGTTTCTCAGCTGTTGCTTTACAACATATAAACTCAGTAAAGCTAGAGGATTCCATAATTTAATCTAATTTCTGTGTAATTTTAGGTAAAAGGGATTCTTTTTCATAAACTGTTTAAGTATTAAAGTAGACATGAGAGAAGAGGCAGAGAAATAGTGCTTTATTTCATTTAGCTGAAAGTGTGGTTGCAAAGCCAAAGATGTGCATAAGCTCATAGCTGATCTCTTTTTTCTAAGACATGAACCAGCTTAGTTTTACACATCCATTATGGCTGCTTAAAGTCCCAATCTCTTTAGTCAAACAGGGTCAGACTATGTCACAATTTTCGGATAAAGTTTTTCCCATTTAGAAATTAAATCTGGAAGTAACTTTGAATAGAAAAAGACACATTTTCATGCTGGACAGTTTTATAAATCTTCCTAACATTCCTGAAGTAAGTCAGGTAATGTGGTGTTTAATCAGAACAGATTCCTCCCGGATTTTGTTCTGATTAAACAGTTTTATTTTGAACATGTTTTGTTTTGTTTGCAAGCCAACACCAATTACTCCTCTTTTATAATTAAAAGTTAATACTGTGAATACTTAACCAGTCACTATCTAACAAAAACAAACTCCACCTATAGTACAGGGTCTATTAAAAAATATGTACTACCTCGTGATTAAGGCTGCTGTTTGGGGTAGATTCAGACTCCAAACAACAGCTGGGCTCTGTAACAAGAAAATTACCCTGGTTTTTGGAAAAGGATCCAGCTGTGGAAACACACCTCAGTTAAAGAAGATTTGCCTTCAGGTTTTGTTAACAAGTTCAAATTTACCAATCAATTTCTATAGCTATAAAAATCCTAAATATAATTTTTAGTTCCAAAAATCTATAAATATGCTTAAAACCAGTTCTGAACACTGTTATTCTTTTTCTTGTCTGCTTTATACATCCTTTCCACTATGCAACAGAGCAATGGACACCATGGAGATCTTTAAGCTGAGCAGGATGTAAACTATCAACATGAGCCAATAAAGGATATGAGTGTTTCCGAGTTGTAAATTTGTAGGAGACAACACAACAGATTAGTTATGATGGATTATAAGGCCCTGAGATCAGGGACATCAGACATCCTGCCATATTTTCCACTCTCACACTGACATAAACATTGCTGAATAGGCATCATGTGCATTTCTAAGTGTCTGGATGCCTAACACACAGATTAAATTTATGCAAGGAAACATCTATGTAATTGAAATAAAGTATATATTTCAAGCTCAGCTTTATAAGATTTTTTCAACATACTACTTTCTATTTGGAAAGTTTATCAGTTTAATCCATCTTTATTAGAATATTGCATCCAGGTGAGATGAGCACTCACAAGATTGATTGTAAGTATTCCTCCACAAAGATTCTTATCAAACTTTAATACAAAAAAGTAGAGACTAACCAGGGCTTTGCTGTAGGAACATCTCTGACAGGATCTCTAGGTGAAGGAAGAGAAGTGCACCTCCAATGCCAAACAGCAGGATGAACCAAAAGCCACGGGGCATTCTTCGTAGTCGTATCCAAAGGGAATCCATCTCCATCCTTAACTTCATCCACACCATAATGCGGCACAGTATGGTGCGTATATAATAGGTTCTGGGGAAATATTAAAAAAGAGAGAAATGACGACTGCTTTTAGATTGTTTTCAGTTTAATCCATCTTTATAACAATGCAAAATAAAGCAGCAGGCATAGCAGCACAGACCAACATAAATCTGATAAACAGATTTTCTTCAGCTCACACAATGTTCTTGAAGTTTTTCACATTACAAACACAGATGTTATGATAATTTGTTGGGATTTTATTAACAAAACATGATCCATAATTGCTGCACTATCGAGTGTAGCCTCTGAATATAAGCTCTACAACTGATCCACCTGGTGTCCCCATTTACAGTCAGTTAGAGAACATCGAGTTTTGCAGTCTCATTGTCAAACTGAATTCTTTCTTTCCGAAATACTGATTATATTTAGAAGAAATGAAGCAATTATTACTTGGTTAATTTATTTTCTCATTGTACATTATACAATCATATTAATTTAATGCTTTGACACCTCTGTTCAAACTTTGGCTTTGTCTAAATGATGTAAAGGAGCAGATTTCAAGAAAATTCTACTAAAACTTCTACATAAGTTTTCTTTCAGCTGTGAAAAAAAAAATATATCAAATGACATTTATTTTCAGTCATTTGATATGACTTTTTCCATTTCATACCCTAAAATTACACCTTTGAGATCCATAGTATTCAATTCAGTTTATTTATTCAGAGACATGTCACAAAAAGACATTTAGCAAGAAAAAAACAAATCAGTTCAGTCAATTGATCCTAGTTATCAAACAATACACTCAAGGTCATTTTAATATTCAAACTGCTTAAAGGAAACCTATAGCAGAACAAAACCCAGAAACAACAATTTAATAAATTTAGCTGGATCAACAGTCAAGCTGCACTATACATACAAATTCTAAGCTCTCACATAGTCACAGTACAATTGTTTCATAAAACAGTAACACTTTGTCTTGTTCTCACAAGTGAAAGTGTGAGGGATTAAAGGTTATAAGTTTCCAATTTGTAGGTATCCCTGCCAACCTATTTCACTTGTCTTTTTTACTGACAACACTGCACTTCTATATGAATAATAGTGAAGTCAGTTTGTAAGAAAAATGAGCAAATGCCTCGAGTTCAGGGAGCCTATAGCATTTCACAAGTTCATTAAATCTGTGTTTATGAGACTCACATTGAACTTTTCAAGAAATAAAACAAGTCTTGATGTTAAAACTAAAAGAACATGAAACAATAGAAACCTTAAAGAACTTAATTTTTTTCCATATGCGTTTCCATAGTAAAAACCATATGATGTTCTGTGGGGAAAACATTAACAGTAGATAAGGTGGGAGTTGTGGATGAGGTGTTACCCAATGTGAAACATGTGGAAGTTCTATTTTGTGGCTAAGTATTTTACCACATGTGAAATGTTTTCTAATGTTTCATAAATACAAATCATATGGCCTTGCAACAAGGCCATATAACAAGTGTTTCACATGTGGTAGTTAAATTATGCATCTGGATTTAACATGTAAAAATTGTGGTGAAAAGATGTACAGGTTAAACATATTTCACATTTTTCTCAGAACACCAAATTAAGTAGATGCCTGATCACACTGCACAGAGTAGAAAATGTGTTTATGATACTTGGGTTTTTGTTTTTATTTGCGCCTGGGTTTCCCTCACTTGTTGATGTTCATTTGTGTTTGACATTGTCAGCAAGGTGTTGAAATTCTAGCTAATTTCTTTGTATTTAGTTTTCTACTTTATTCTTTTGTAATGTTATTTGTGCATTTGGATTTATTCCTGTTAGATCTCAGTCTTTTCCCTGGGTTTGCAGTCCATTTGGAGTTTTTCTTCAGCTGTTTTGTGTTAATCAGTCTCTCTTCCTCGGTTTCTCTGCTTTCATTCTGTAACATCTATTCCACATTTCTTCTGATAAGCTCATTTGGTTCGTTTGCCATTTTCCACCTCTGCCTCTGTATTTAGGCTCATATAATGTTCCTTGCTGGAATCCTCTGTTACTCTGTCTGCACTCCACGACCTGCTCTTCATACGATTCCCCTGTAAGGTTTCCACAGTGACTGTGGCAAAGTCTGTTCTACCACAGTCACTGTCTGAATTTGAGTCTTTCACAAACAGCAACATGAAACTAACTGTCTGATAATTCTCTGTAGTTACAAAGGAAACTGCTGTCTATGTCTGAAAAGGGATTGTCTAAGTATTTATTTAGTGAAAGAATAATAATTTTAGGGTGACACTGAATTTCATATCTTCAATATATTTTCAGAGTACATACTAAAGTTGATCAATAAAACTGCAACCGTTTTAGACTTAGACTCGTACTTTATTGATCCCTTGGGAAGACTCCCTCAGGAAACTGAAGATTCATCATTTTACTCTAAAATTTTAAAATAAAATATGAAATTTTTACAATTGAATACCTTCTCTCATGCATTATTAGGCAGCCATGTTTAAGATCCTTTGATTTAAAAGTTATTAATTAATCCAATTGAAAGAAAAATCATAATTTTTGTCGTTGCAGCAGGACTTTCTATTTTCCATAAAAAGTAGTTTACCCTTTGATCAACCAGTCACTTGTGAGCCAAGTCAGACAATGCATGTCCGTCTGTCTTTGTTTTATAAAATCACCTCCAGATTATTACATTTGTTTTTAGTTCATCTATAAAAATCTTTGTTGGTTTTAGCAGTTATGCTTTTTCATTACAATTTTAGTTTTTCTTTACAAGGAAATAATCACAGACCCTTGTTAAGATAAGGTGAATGGTTAGATCTAACAGTTATGTGGCATATCTAAAATCCAAACAGCCAGTCCTTTCAATATCAAAAGGTATATTAGATCCAACTAAAAACAAACTCATGCAAATACTCCTTCTGTTACTTGAACATACAATAGATACAATCACTTATAACACTTGAACTTATTGATTTTCACATTCCCACTGCTAGATTCTCATCAACAAGTTTCTATATATTTTTGACAAGAGATATTTTGTCATAAAAAAGCAGTAATAATAATAATATTGCAGGTAAATTTGCTCTTTTGGTCCCCTTTCCAGTCTTATAAACGATGTACTGTCTCAACAGAAGGAACATCTACGCAACTTGAAATGCCTGTTTTTTTTTTTAATGAACCTCATATTTTCCTTTGGAAAAAAGATTAATACCATAACAACATCATTTTATTCAGGGGAATAAATGACAAAATTATTCTGCTACATTCTTTAGGCCAGTGTATTTTTTAAATATTAAATTGAAGTACAAGGCTACTCAGGATACCGAATGAGTCATAGAGCAAAATAATGTCCCTGGAAATGTCCGAGTGCGTAGCTTGACGTAACAGTACTTCGGACCTTTCTTAGAAAAAATATGCAGAAAAGCTGGAGAGATTACATTTTCTATACAATAAAAGATACTGAAATAAGGGATCATTAAGAATTGCAAATATGGAGGTTCAGTTGTTTTCAATATTGCAATGGAAAAAAAAACTAGCTGATATTTTATCACAGGTCACTATCATTCTAATGTTATCTGATTGGAAATCAAAGCCATGCATGTTCAAAGTAGCTTTTTTGAGTCAAAGTCTACAACTCTTTTTTTTTTTTTTTTCATAGATTATGCACCCTAGTGTAAGTGTGTCCATGACTGATTGTGCCTTAGTGGATTAGTGCACCATGACATATAACTGTGTGGCACATTGGTACAAATGAGGATGAAAATGGGAGTTAATGTGCAGTACACATTCATTGTTTTGTTGTGATTTTATGTGACATCAAGTCAAAAAATAATGACACATGGTTTTCAAATTGTTTTACAAACAAAAATCTGAAAAGCGTGGTGTGAATTTATTCCCCCCTTCTGAGAATAACGAATAGTTTATACTACAACAAATGCTTCCACATGAGCTGTGGATCTCTGCAGCAGATTAAGCCATTTCTCTGAATAATGCTGTCTTTGCCTATCAGTGAATTTAGACAGCTGTTTTGATTGCAGTTGTACCAAACTCTCTATAAATCATGAGAGTTTTCATTCAACATAAATAAGTTGAATAAAAAAAGAGGTAAAACACAGATGTTGGAAACCATGTATCATTTTTCTTCCAGTTCACAATTATGAAAAGCTTCATATTGGTGTTGCATAAAATGCAAAGAGAAGAGATTTAAATTTTCCATGTTACTTGACAAAATATTGAAAGCGTAAAAAAGTAATATTTTCACAAGGCAGTGTAAATTTGTGTGATTATTGTGTTATTTAAGCAGACACAAACTAAACGACAGCAGCAACAAACCACACAAAAAAACAGGAAAACACCACCTGTGTTTGGAACAATGCAATAAAAAAATTATCATTCATTTTGATATTCACAATAAATGTTCAATAATTCAACAATTAGACTACACAATGTGTTTGATTGCAGTTGTGGCTGGTGAAAAGAAAAATTGGTAGGACTGACATGGAAAAAATTTAATCTAAGATTTTCATTACTAGTCCAGTATGAGTATTGAAATTATTATATATCCACAATAATAGAGAATTTTTCATACAGCAAAATACTATGAAGACTTAAATTAGCTAAAAGTAAAACTTAAATGACTTGCAAAATATAAAGGAATTAATTATTGAATTACTGTCAACAGCTAAGACTGAATCAGACTCGAAATGTGCATATTTACCTTAATACAGTATTAAGGTAAATATGCAAATACATTATTTAAAAAAAACATGTTATAGATTCTTTTTAGATTCCCGCCACATTCCTTCTTCTTCACATACATGAGAGTGGTGCCCCAGCGCCCCCTGTGGACCAGCCGCCATTTGGATTTGTGTACTCAATTAAAACAAGACATAGCTCTTTAAATGAAGACATGCAGAGATGCAATAAGCACATATGCATGCTCGAACGGTACTCATTCTGTGGACAGTTTTGCCCTTTACATTCTAGATGCCCTTTTCAGACTGAAATACCAAGGTAGCATTTTCAAACAGAGCATTGATGGGTTAATGAGATACAGTGCAAGAATGCAACAA